TGAAACATTCACTTAGAGGAGCTCAACAGAACATTTGAACAGGCAGAAGAAAATGAAGTCAGCAAACCTGATGACAGGTCAAATGATATTATCTGTCTGAGGAAGAGAAAAATGAGAAGAATGAAGAAAAACGAAGAGTCTGAGACCTATCAAGCATACTGAGATATACCAAGAATATAAAAATATAGCGGTTCTAGAAGAGAAGATAGAGTGGTAGAAAGAATATTAAAAAAAAAAAAAAAAAAAAAGATGGCTAACACTTCCCAAATTTGATGAGAAACATTCACCTACGTGTTCAAGAATCTCAACAAACTCCAACTAGGAGAAACTAAGAAAGATCCACATCATAATTAAACTGTTAAGAGGCAAAGACAAAGAAAATGTCTTCAGAGAATTAAGAGAGAAGTGACTCACCATGTATAAGAGATCCTTAATAAGATTGTCAGCTTTTCATCAGAAACCATGGAATCAGAAGACAGTGAGTGGAATGGTATAGTCAGAGTGCTGATAGACCAAGAATTCTATATCCAACAAAACTATCTTTTAAAAATGAAGGAGACATTAAGACATTCCCAGAAAGTCAAAAATAGAGGCCATTTGTCAGGTATTTCAGCCTGAAGGACTGAAACTTCTTTAGTACTTCTCTACTAGAAATACTAACGAACATTCAACTTTTATACAAGAAATATTAATGAACATTCAGTCCTTCAGGCTGAAATGATAGGATAATAGGAAGTAACTCAAATCCATTTAAAGAAATAAAGGTAACCACATAGATAAATACAAAGGGAAAAACAAATATAAAAGGAAAAATAAAATTTTTTGGTAACTGTTTTTCCTCCTATATGTTTTAAAGGACATCTATATGAAGCAAAAATTATAAATCTATGTTGATGGTCATAGAATGTATAAAGATGTAATCTATTGGACAAAAATAGTGCACAAGTTGGGGAGGGAATGAAGCTATATTGGAGAAAGGTTTATATATACAATTGAGATGAAGATAATATTAATCCAATCTAGGTTGTTATAAATTAATATGTTAATTATAATCTCCAGGGCAACCAACCACTAAGAAAATAACTAAAATATATATAAAGAAAGAAATGACAAAAGAATACTAGAAAATATCTATTTAGTACAAAAGAAGGTAATAATGGAGGAATAGAAGAAGCCAGAAAGAAGAGACACATTTACAAACACACATCAAAATAGGGGACATAAAACCTACCTTATCAGCAATTACATGAAATTACTCTACCTAATCAAAATGTAAAACTTTTCTGTTTCATTGGACACCATCAAGAAAGGGCAAGACAACTCAGAATGAGAGTAAAGTTCAAATTATATATCTGATAAGGGACTTGTACCTAGAATATATAAAGAGCATCCACAGTTCAACAATAACTAGATAAATAATCCAATTAAAACATTGTGCAAAGAATCTGAATATACATATCTCCAAAGAAGATGTACAAATGACAATAAGCACATAAAAAGATGCCCAACGTCATTAGCAGGGAGGGAAGTGCAGATTAAACCAACGACGAATACATTTTTTGTTTTTGTTCTTTTTAAGAGATGGGGTCTCACCATGGCACCCAGACTGGAGTGCAGTGGCTACTCACAGGTACATTCAAGACACACTGTAGCCTCAAACTCCTGGGCCCGAGTGATGCTCCTACCTCAGCCTCCCAGGTATCCGGGACTGCAGGCATGCACCACTGCACCCAGCTTAAAGCAATGAGACAGTACTTCAGACCCACTAGCATGGCTATGATAAAAATGATGGACAATAATAAAGGTTTGTGAGGATGTAGAGAAACCGGGACATGCCTTCACTGATGGTGGGAATGTAAAATGGTGCAGCTGCTTTGAAAGATTCTGGCAGTTCCTCATCAAGTCAGACATACAGTTAACACATGAACCAGCAATTCCATTCATAGGTATAAGACCCCCAGAATTGAAAAATCTATGGTCACACAAAAACTTGCACAGAAATGTTCATAGCAGCTTTATTCATAATAGCCAAAAAGTGGAAAGAATCCAAATGTCCATTGACTGATGAATAGATAAACAAAATATGATATATCCATATAACGAAATATTAGCCTTAAAAAGGGATGAACTACTGATGCATACAAAACATGGATGAACCTTGAAAACATTTGTTAAATGAAAGAAGCCAGACACAAAGAGTCACATATTGTATGATTCCATATATATGAAATGCCTGGAAAAGACATCCCTAGAGACAGAAAGAAGATTAGTGGCTGGGCGCGGTGGCTCAAGCCTGTAATCCCAGCACTTTGGGAGGCCGAGGCGGGTGGATCACGAGGTCAAGAGATCGAGACCATCCTGGTCAACATGGTGAAACCCCGTCTCTACTAAAAATACAAAACATTAGCTGGGCATGGTGGCATGTGCCTGTAATCCCAGCTACTCAGGAGGTTGAGGCAGGAGAATTGCCTGAACCCAGGAGGCGGAGGTTGCGGTGAGCCGAGATTGTGCCATTGCACTCCAGCCTGGGTAACAAGAGTGAAACACCGTCTCAAAAAACAAAACAAACAACAAAAAAAAAAAACGAAGATTAGTGGTTGCCAGGGGCTTGGAGAAGGGGCAGTGCAGAACGGTTCTAATGGTTACAGAATTTCTTTTTAGAGTAATAAAAATGTTCTGGAAATTGATAGTGGTGACTGTTGAACCACTCTGTGGATATATGAAAAACCACTGCATTGCAGTTTAAGGGGTAAATATTATAGTGTGTGAATTATATCTTAGTTTAAAAATGAGGTGGAGTTGTGACTAGACCTCTAATGTGCAAGGGACCCCCTCCCATGTCCTACCTCTGTCACCTGGACATGTCTAAGCGGCCCTCCTGCCATCGCCTCGACCCCTCTTGGTCCCTGTATTAGTCAGAGTTCTTCAGAGAAATAGAACCAATAGGATATCAACATCAATGTTGGTATTGACATCAATATCTATATTGACAAAAATATTGATATAGATATATAGAGAGATCTAGACACATAGAAAGAACGGCTGTCCACCCCACAAGCTCCTTCCTGTACCCTTGGGAGCTCTATTAATAGTATTATTTTGAGATGGAGTCTCACTCTGTTGTCAGGCTGGAGTGCAGTGGCA